CAAGTCCCTCTCATTCCTGTTTTAAATATTTTACCTCTGATTTAAAGTTTTCTTAACAAATATATATATATATATATATATATATATATATATATATATATATTTTTTTTTTTTTGCAAAACAACATTTTACATTATTTTCCAGCGTTTTCTTTAGCATACATTTGTTTGTGTATCGTTTTTAGGGAGTAAGGGGCAATGACTTCTAGCGGACGGAAACGACGAAGCGGAAGGCGAACCGGAAGAGAAAGGTCAAAGGTCGTTTGGTGTGAGGAAGCCTCGGTATGGAGAGGTAAACATTCATGTCGTCTGAGTCTGACTGAGCTTAAATCCTGTTTCCAAACACATGCAGGTAGAAAAATAAATGACTTCATCTCACAAAAATCTTATTTGTTGGCAAAAACGAAACAAAGGAAAGAGAGAAGAGTGAAGGTGAGCGAGGAAATCCCGTTCAAGGTTCAGCAGATCGTTTCAGCTGTTAATCAAGTCTGCGGCTCACGTGAATGGAGCATGTTTTTGTTTTGTTTTTATTTAACACTTGTGTGGTAAACCCTCACCTCTACGTTATAATCCCTCTCTCTGATGAATCAGTCATACATCTGTCATTCTTGGATCAAAGCTCCTGTTTCCTTACAATAATACAAAAAAAAAAATCCTCTTAAAGTGTTGAAATAATTATGTAAATTTAGAAAGTGTTGAGAAACGAACCAAAGAGGGCCAAAAAAAGGAAGAAAATAAAAACAGTTTTAGATTATTTGTTGGTTTATGCTTTAGTAAAGCCCGACTCCCCAGTCCAGGCAGGTGATGCTCCTCTGACGGTCAGCGCCTTGCAGGACGACCCACAGCCCGTCACTTACCTGCACATTGAGTCACTTTGCAACAACCTCCATTTTCCTGTGTGTGTTTGTGGCAGACCAACATAAAGTGGAGCATAACTGTGGAAGGAAGAGAAATTCTGCAAATAAAACATGAATTTGTTTTTAACCTGGTCTAAATAAAATAAAATAATGTCCTTTTTTTGCCAAAAGATTAAAAAAAATGTTTTTTGACGAAAACATTTATTTTAGGAAAGTGAGGAAATGCTGTCAGTGGCAGAAAACGAACAGCTCACATCGACCTGAGCGGACTGTTCCTGTTTTGGTGGTGGCAGCGTCATGCTGCGGGATCCTTTTTCTTTGACAGAGCTCTGGATGTGACAGTTCAGCAGGACGATTCTTCTAAACTCAGAGCTGCGGCTTCAGCTTTAGTTCTCGGTTTCCAGTTTTATGGGGTTTTTTTTTTTTTACTTTTGTTTTTCCAGCTTTTTCTGGTTTTCATGCAACAAAATGGTGTAATCAAAGTCCAGATCTAAATCCAACCGAACGTTTGTGGCAAACTGAGGTTCACAGATGCTCCCCGGCTCATCTCACTGAGCTTTGAGCTTCTTTGCAAGGAAAAATTTTTGAAAAAACTGGTCAATGTCTTATTGCTCAAAGCTGCCCTAAAAGAAAGCATTCACTCAGGGCCGAATATACATGCACGCCACACTTTTCAGATTTGTTTTTTAAAATCTTTTAATCCTTTTTTGTATAGCTTTACAAGTTGGTCTGTCACGACACCTTAATGTTTATAGATGTAACTTGACAAGATGTGTGTCTATGTGTGTGTGTGTGTGTGACGGTTAGTTAGAGTGTTTCATGTTGACCAAATGAATTTAGAGACTTCTCCAGAGTGAGGAGGAGACGCGACAGACTCTGTGCAGAACAGCAACAAAAACAAATGATGTCGAAATAAATACATGAGGCGATAACTAAACCTCTACACAAAGGATGCAGCGTATAGAAGGGTTTGTCATTATTAATGACAATATATTAGGTTTTGCATGTTTGTTCTGAATAAAAATGAGTTTGAGTATGTGTGTGTGGGTGTGTGTGTGTGAGAGAGAGACATTTGTGTTGTGTTCTGTATTTTAACCAGGAATGACAGAACGCAGCTGAGGACGTGTGTCACTTATTCTTAACTTAAAGTTTATTCTTTGTTTTCACTATGAGGTGTGAGGCAAATAGTTCCTGTTTTAAAGCTGCATGTGTGTGTGTGTGTGTGTGTGCGTGTGTGTGTGTGTGTGTGTGTGTAACAAAAACACCTGGAGTCAAAGTTCTGTTTCACATATAAAGTTGAATGAAGTAATGTGACATATATGTAAAATATCCTGGTATAATTTGAATGTTTTTTTAAATGTGAATGAATATGAAGCTTTACGTTTCCACAGTAATCGTTCAGCTTCACATCTGATGTTTGCTTTAACGTCCAGCTGCTCTTTGTCGGCTCTGATTATGAGTTTACTCCGTTTCCTGTTCATTTTATTTGAATTTTTTTTTTTTGTTTTGCTTTAGTTGGACGTATCCAGGGCTTCAAGTAGATGGTTTGTGAAAATACAAATATGAACCATAAACTGTGACAGAATGAGGATGTGGGCTGAACCTGAGCAGGCTCTAAGATGAGTTTGTTCTCCTGAACTTTGTGACAATAAACTTAGAGTGAGGAAAATCTGCTGACAGAGGATTTATCTTGAAATTCTCACCAGTTTTTTCCCCCCCTCTGATTTAAGTATTTTTTTGGCATTAGTGATAAGAATAGTGCAGAATTGATACTTCATTGCTTCATATCTTTTTTTTTTGTTGTTCTTTTGTTTGTTTGTTTTTTACAAAACTATCAGTAATAAATTGCAGCGGTTGGTTTCTGACAGTAAAAGTCCTACTGCAGTAGAAACGTCTTCAGAATCAGGCTAAAAGTCAGAAAAATGGGTTTACTTTAAAACCAGCAGCAATTTTTGTTTGATCTCATTTTTGCATTTCATGTTTTGTTTCTAATCAAACATTTACAGCTGACTTTCTTTGATGTGCTCAAAAATGTCACGTCTTTTCCTGAATTTTCTTTTTCTTTTTTTGTCAGTAGAGTACCAGGTGACGGGAAGCGGAAGCTAATCGAGCCGAGGAAGCTAAAAGTAGGAGACGGAGGCGAGGAGAGACGGCTGCTGGGTGTAGGTGGAGGAAGAGCCGGCGCCTTGTCGCTCCGCCCAAAACCAGGAAGTCGAGTCTGAGCGGAGTCCGTCCGTCCGTCCGCCTCCACCTGCTTCTGGTCGCACAAAGCAAGAAGGTAAATGGAGGCGACCCCAGGACTGAATGTGGAAATCAGCAAAAGAAATCATGACGGAATCTACATCTTTTCCAAAACAGAATTTGTACACTGCAACATTTAATCTTCAGTAACTTTGGTCTAGTTTTTCAGTGCAAATGAAAAATAATAGTAAAAATAATAATAAATAATAATAGTTCACTTAAAATAAGACAAAATTATCACAAGTAACTTTTCAGCAAGATATAGGAGCTTGTTTTAAGCAAATATCTCCTTCATACTGATGAAATAAGCTCATTATTTCACTTATGGGAAAAATGTCTTGTTATAAAATAACCTGCTAGTGGAGCTGGTAGTTTAAATCAGTATGAAGGAATTATTGACTGGAAACAGGCTCCTCTATTTTGCTGAAAAGTTACTTTAGTTTCGTTTTATCTCAAGTGGACTAAGATATTTTTTTTCTGGGCCCTCATAAGCTGCGTTTCCCAGTATGTGCTCTTCCTGGGTTTCACACATTCAACATGAACAAGTGAAAATGCAGAACAAACGGAAATGACATCACAAATTCAAAATAAGACCAACTACAAAAACAAAAACAAACAAATGCAAATACATTTGCGTGGGTGGCAACCCCCCACCCAAAAAAAACAACAAAAAAACAACAAAAACAATCAAAACAAATGAACAAGGCTATAATAAAAAAACATCCACATTCGCTTCATTATATACATATATGGAAAAAACAAACACAATCAATATAACTGTACGGTACGGTAGAGAGCGTGTGGTGCTGCTGGTTTCTCTCTAAATGATGTCATGGACTGTCTGAAATATTAAAAGAAAACTTTAATAAAAGTCCGGTGAGGCAGCAGGGAGTCCTCCAACACGATCAATCAGATGCATTTTGGGTATTTTGAATGCAGTTACCTTAAAAAAACGAAAAAACAAAAAGAAAAGACAAAGACGACCGTTTTGATGAAATGCTTTGAACGTCTCTGCATGTTTAAAATCCAGATGATCAGGTTGCAACTTGAAGAGAGCAGAAAAATAATGAGATGAACGGAAGCACAATTTTTATTTTAATTGTTTCAGATTCCAGTTTTGGTCAGTTTGGATGATTTTTATATTTATTTTTTATTTTTTTTCAGTTTTTTAAAAAGTCTCCTGCCCAACAGAGACGTGTAGATTTGTGTCAATAATCCTGGATCTGGAGTGGGTGGAGACGGGGGGTGGAGGTATTTCCAAACCTCATTCAGTCCAACACAATCCAGAGAGATTGTTTAGGATCTGAGGAACGTTTCAAAAATCTTTAAATAGAAGAAAACAAATGTAGGTACAAATGTCACTAATGTAGGTACCTGGTAAGAAAAATAATCAGCTTGTCTTTTTCAGAGTTTCAGCATAAAAGTTGCAGGGTGTTTTGTTTTTTTGTTCTGTTTTAATATTTTGAATATGCATTTTGCACAGCAGGACAGACTGTCTGATGGGAAACGTTTCCAAGACTCGTTTCCTGTCGGAACGATGCTGGAAACATCTCAGGAATCCCTCTTTAGTTTTGTTTCTGCTGCCCTTCACATTTACAAACTAGTTTTACAAATTTATATAT